TTTTCCATTTTCCATTTCCCACTTCCCATTTCCCATTTCCCATTTCCATTATTCGTTATTCGTTACTCTTATACACTATCCTTCTGCAAATATTCTACCACGGGGAATAGGCTCCATGTCTGAGAGATTCAAACTGATACCCGGTAGGTATTCGTCATTTATGGGCTGGCATGCCCACCTCGACTCCATCCTTAGCCTCCTCAGGTTGTAGCTTCTAAGGCATCAAGGAGACGACCGGTATTTTGCCTCCGGGGAACACCTGCTTGTGAGTATCTAGCAGTACCGTGAAGAATCTTTTGAGCTCCTGCTTCTTCTCGGGGGCTTCCAGACCTTCCTCCCCCCTTTGAATCAAGTAAAGATTGACTTTCTTCAACGCCGGAAAGAACCTGAGCATGCAGCAGTACGGCTGGTTATGAACATGCACCTGGTGACCATGCGCGGCGTGGATGTGCAGGGCCAGGTCCTTGGCCTTCTCAAAGTTATTGAACTGAAAGATGTTCAACTCCTCGATCTTAGCCAGACAAGCGGAGGATGATCCGTTGGCCAGCTGGGCAATCCAGCACTCCTCCTCCCACGTCAGCGTGGAGGTGAGGTTCACCGCGATCATGAAGTTCAACAAGCATCGATCCGCGACTGGATCGATGCTGAACGGGACACTCTTGAACTTTTGGAATCCGACCCGGGGGAGTACATGGTAGTGACGGAGGGTCTCGGTGCGACTCTCTTTGCAGATGCGTAAGGTGATGGGCAGCGGAAACTTCTTATTATCGCTTTCGACGTGCATTCGCTTGTCCTCGTCGCCGTTGATGGAAGACTTGTAGGTGTCGATGTCGACAACTCTTCCGCGGGGCAACGCCCAATACCAGACTCTGTGACGCAGCTCAGGAGCGAGCTTTGGGAACAGGGTGAATGCTTCGCAGGCCTGCTGCTCCGGAGAATCAAATTGCGGGCCCGTAGATTCCGAGGAAAGCTCTCCAGTCATCTTGGTGTTCGTGGCTTCGGGCAACCCTGTACAAACTCCTTGCGGACCTGAGGATACCCCGAGGGGTAGAGTACTCTCCTTGGTGGTGGTGACTTCAGGCGACTCTGTGAGAAAATTAGCAAAGGTGAACCTCTTTACTATTTCTTGGCAAGAGCTGAGGGGTTCTCACGAGCTGGACACATGGACGATGCGGTCGGGGCAGACATGCTTCGGTTCTTTGCTTGATGTTGGAAGAGCAGTTGCGAAAAGAGATCGGGACAAGGCTTGGGAGGTCGATGGCTCGGAGCTGCGGTAGGTGGTGGCAGGCCAATTCGATATTCAACGCGTGTTAGAAAGAAAATACCACGAGAAGAGTGAGCGGAAAATGGCTGAAAGTGAGACCCGACATACGTAGCTGTACTTGTGTCGGTGATTTTACTGTAATGATACAAGTGACCCCGAGACTGTAATTCACCTACTATTTTTCCAGGTCCCGTGACGACCGAGCTAGCGCTAGCTCACAATTCGCCTACCTCTGTTTCGGATGGTGAATGAGATTTTTCAGATCACCGATTCATCAAATCGGCGCTGATCCTTCCTGGTTATATCCAAGCAGTGAATGGTGTGGTCGGTATCAGTCCAGGTCTCGTTCCTTCCCTTTGGAAACAGTGCTGGATGGGAGAAGAGCAATTTTTTTAAAAAAATATATATTATGATTTGATGGCCTCGTTACCACATACGACCATAGACTGAGGAAAATTGGGCATCCCGTTCGCTCTGCCATACACAAGCCTCAGATAGGCAGATTAGTAGTTGGGTGGGTGACCACCAGCGAATACCTGCTGTTGTATATTTTGGATCTTTTTTTGGATCCATCATGCATGGAGTGAGTGTCGTCGGGATCACGTGAGTGAAGGTTGCCAATATGTCCTGAACAGGTAGATAGCATGACTCGAACATCGACTCGCAAAGGTGGAATAATTCTGGATCGTAGACAGATTTTGTAAATGCTCATTAGATCTTCAAAATACCATCACATATAAACCAATATGCAGACCCGAGAGCATCACATGTCCTGACGCCATAATTTTCGACTTAAAATAGTCTCTGAGGTAGCAGCAAGCAATTTCGTCACCATGATCTTGACATTTTCCTTTACTTCAATTTCACCTACCAACATTCGCAAAGACACATCTTCTTGTCTGTCTCTTCTTCTCTCTGGAATTTCCGAACTCCAGCCACACACACGCATACAACTGATTTATTCGAGCTCACTCTTCAACGCCGCCACGATCGCGAAATGAATTCCTCCCACCACGCCAACCGTACCCCAGGGCGAGGCCAAGATGCCAACCTGGGTCGCGGCCGTGGAGGTCGGTCTCGGGGTGGCTTCAACCCCCGCGTCAACTTCGACACGGACTCTCCGGCCGTCCCTACCATCTCGCAGGTCGTCCCTGGCGCACCAGTCTCTATTGTCCTGAAAGTAGACCAGCCGACAGGTCGCCAGGTGCAAGGCTTCGTCGGCGCGCTCCTGACCAGAGGGAACCACCCGCGAGGTATCAAAGTCCGCTTGCAGGACGGGAGGGTGGGAAGAGTGCAGAAAATGGCGAGCGAAGAAGCAGCGAAGGCGGGATCGGAGGGGCGGAGTTATGGACTGGGTAGAGATGGGCATGGAGATGGGATGATGAGCACCCATATGGCGGAACCCTCGCCAGCTGGGCTGAGCATCGGTTCATCGATGACGCCGAACCGGTACGGCGATTTCAGACTCGATGCGCCGGATGAGCCGCCGCGCGCGGAGTTGAGTCTCGGGGATTACGTTGTGGTCAAGGGCAACGGGAAGAAGGGCCGCCAACGGAAGACTGATAGTGACGGTAGTGACTTGGGGGATCCGAAAACTCAGCATCTTGAGGTCCTGGAAGGGATCGAACCCCAGGCCACCCCTGGATCGACGTCCGCAACGGGTACGTGTCCAGTCTGCGGGGACTTTGAAGGGGATGAATTTGCAATATCTCATCACGTGAATTCCCACTTTGACTGAGAGGTTGCAAATATCTCTTGATTTATCTGTGGCTTTTCGGGCACAATGATCGACTATGTCAGAGCGGTTCAGATCTTCTCTGTTGATCTCGTGTGCTCATGGGATCTGTGAACTTGGCTGCCCGCTTGGGTGTGCTTCTTTTCATCCTTCGTTCCTAAGCCAGTCACCATCGACCACAGATGGGATACACCAGAGGATTTGGGCTGATTATATCATGGCCCGATGCGAGGTAGAGAAGAAGGATGTCAGTCCCTGCTATGAGATAGCTGGCAGCAGTGCACCACTCCTTTATTCCCGTCGATATATTGGAAATTTGAATACTTCAAGTGGACAATACGATATGGGTCCAGGAATCAAATAAATTCGCCATGAGAAAGGCTTGATTGACCACGGGATTCGATTGAAAGGGAGATGATTAAGATAAGATGTTAGGATCGATTCGATAGATACTGATTATTGTGTTTTAGAAGGCGTGATAGGTTTTTTTTTTTAAAAAAAAAGTTATATTTTCCTCTTTTTTGAGGACGTGAATCGAAGTAAGTTAAGGTTTGATTTTATGTATTAATATCTTTTTTATTTCATGAACATCGATCGTATTAGGCATTGACATCAAAAGATGGAAATTGCAGAACGAGAATAAATATTTCTATTATATATGTATGTAAAGCGCAGCGGGAGGGATTGTGCTGCCAGTGCACTAGCTTGACGTTACTTGCTTTGGCACCTACATAGCTAGATTAACTAAGTGCTCTCGAGCTTCTTCCATCTATCCGCGCCTAACACCGGCCGGAGCGCCTTCACGAGCCAGCCTTGCTAGACTTGACCACTGCGAGCGCAGAGCGGACGGGGACGTTATGGTCCCGACCCGGCTCCGGGAAGCCACCAATATCAACCCCCTTCCGGAAGAGCAAGGTGTGCGAGGAGCCACCGAAGTGGAACATGCCCGTCTGGTCGCCCTTCCGGACGCGCTGGCCCTCCTTGACGGTAACGTCGCACGTGGAGACCTCGTCCATGCCGATGCCGACGAAGGCCATCAGTCCGATGTCGGGGTTGTCGGCCTCGATGAAGATGATCGCGCGCGCGGCCAGCGCCGAGATGTAGCCCTGCGCGGACGAGATGCCGGCCTGGTTGATCTCGGTCGTGTGCGGGTCGCCGAGGCCTTCCCAGAGGGGCTCGGAGAAGTAGGTGCCGTCGACGCGGAAAGCCTTCCGGATGGTGCCGCTGACGGGCGCGTGCCAGCGGTGGTAGGAGAGCGCCGAGAGGAATGCTTGGTAGACGGTGGCGCCGTCGAACTGCTGCGCCAGGTCGTCGTGCGCGAGCATGTCGCTGACGGAGTACGGCTGGCCCTTGATCCAGAATCGGTCCCGGAGCTGGCAGTCGCGCTGGGTGGAGAAGGGCTTGGACTCGCACGCGTTGACGACGATGCTGTCGTCGTCGGGAGCTGCTACTGGTCGGTATCCGGCCTTGACGTTCAGCTCGCGGGTGAAGAAATCTGAGCGAGGATATATAATTAAGCGAGACGAGCTTTGGTTGTATGATGCGGGAACACTTACCATCCCACGACTTGAATCCATGATACTCTTTGGTAGGATCGCAAACGAACATGTCATGAAATTTCAAGTCAGTGTTTCCTGCCTTGTTGGCAACGATTTCGATGTCTTTAGTTGCCGTCTCGCCAAACCATCCATGTTTATCTTTTCCAAGCACCTTTGCTGACTCTGGGGACTAGCGGGCCATAAAAAATCAGCTCAACTGGGCATCTGTCCCCTGCGAGGTCTCGAGAATGCTACTTACCAGCAAGAACTTGCCCCACTCGTTAAGGACTTTCTTCACCATAGCATTGACTTCGGGATCCAAGAAGGCCGCATGGCCGGAGGGAGTCGACATCGGGTAATCGAAGACTGGAATCGATATCAGCATGACGCTATTGATAGATTCTCACCAACGGCAGAGAAGCTTACTCGCATTCATCGGCACGCCAACCATTCCTACCTTCTGGGCTGACTCGGTCCAGTGAGGAGCAGTCCGCAAGATGTGAGCCAGCACTTGAAGCATGTGCTGGTAATCTCTGATCTGCTTGTTATTCGTTGGATCTGTCCGGTAAATTCTGACATGGTCAGTCGACTGAACACGGCTTCTCAGCGCAAAATCATCTTCCGGGGCACCCAGCTCACCTCTTCGCCGGGATCTCATCGAACATGGCGGTGAAGTACATGTGGAAGCGCGCGCTGGATTCGATCATCGTCTTGAACTCCTCGAGAACGGGAGGTAATTTCTGGGGATTCTGGTCGACATGATCGACCTGCTTCTGCAGCCACGCCTTGTGGAGACGGTGGTCAGCTGGCATCCACCCGCCAGTTCTGTGGGAGGTCAGTGAAAAGCGATACCCTGCATTTGATCTCGGGACATAACACTTACCTATGACGGTGATGCTCCTTCGGCAGGTCGTGATTCATCTCCGAGGGAAGCTGTTGTTGGTGCGGCATGATTGCTGATTGTGTGTATATCTTTTTTTTGACGTTCAATTGAGGTTGCTAACGTGAGAAGATAGCGAAAGGTTTCTAGTGGACCAATATTTGGAAGAATCGTTTTGTTTCCTTGGAGCTGATTTGAGTAGTTCTAGACTGATGGGATGACGAATATTGTGGGGGACAAATTTGTAACTCCGCCACGACGTCATGAAGTGGCGGCGCTGGGGCATTTTATAGATCAACGAATGACCGATCATAAACATTGAATCGAATTGAGCCCAGCAGATCAGATCAGATCCGATCGACTAAGTTTAGGGACTATGGAAGTCTAGCATATCTCGTTATTGATACCCCCCTGGGTCTAGACTAAAACATCCGGTCTAGCTCCGAGGTCCTTGACTTCGACGTCTCCTCGGAGCTGTAAAACCTGACGCGTCCGGTAATGGTCCAAACAAATTGATAGCACGACTTGTCGTGGTAATAAGCCAGCCTTATGTATCGACCCACTTTGCTTGATTCTCTTACAAGTAAGTTGCTCGGGTAGCTTTGTTTAGCTTGCGCCGAATCGATGCCATTGAACTCGTAGAATTTCATCTTCCACCAGCATACGCTGCATTTTAATAATTATACTATTGCCTCTGTAGAGAAGAGCCGTCACATGCATTTCTGAATGGTAGATAGGAGGGGCTACAAGCCTCAGGGCTTACAGTCAGAGGACTAGTAACAATACTTTCAATATAGATGGTAAAGCGCAACTCGTACGACCTACACAACTTTTTTGTCTATTTTGATTTCTTATCAAGACCTGCCACATCCTAGCAATTTGCAATGAAAGGTATTTCTTTTGCGTGTCATCTCAAAATTCACACCAGTTCATGGGAGAACGCATCCGTAGTGGGGGTATAATCGGGCGCTCTAAGCGAAGATGATAATAACAAACCAATCCTTTGCATTTGACCCATGACTTTCGGAAGCCACGCAGTACGTCTCCAGGGCTATCAGTCACAGAACTTTGCACAGTGAGTCTCCACAAGCGTAACTATCCCGGAACATCTCACGGCCGAGTCCATAGCACATGGGCAGCCCACCCACAGCGGCCTCGGAACACCAACAGCTTCGTGAACCCCGTAACGCTGTCTCGTCCGGAATAGACGAATGCGGAAATACAGGCAGCGAGAAGTGAAGTGGACTCTCCATCTTAGATTCAAAGGCAATCTATTTTTGCTGTGCCCTATATCCCGCACAGGAGTGTCTTGCTTTCTCAAGCTTTCGGCGTATCGGCAAAAAGATTGGCTTTCATGGTTTCCGGGTATCTCTCCCCGTGGACCTCCGCCCCATCGACCAAGCTCCGAATCTCCCGAACCTCGTCCTGGCTCAACGTGACGTTCAACGACCCCAGGTTCTCCTCCAGATACTTGATCTTCTTGGTACCGGGGATCGGGAAGATGTCATCACCTTGGGCCATCAGCCAGGAAAGGGTCAGCTGGCCCGCGGTGCAGTTCTTCTTCTCCGCGATGGCGGAGAGGTCTCGAACGAGCTTGAGGTTCTTCTCGAAATTGCCGCCTGCGAAGCGGGGTGACAACTTGCGGAAATCTCCGTCTTCGAAGTCGTCGAGCGATTTGTAGGCGCCCGTCAGCATGCCTCTGTGGCTTGTCAGCTTTCCATGTTTCACCGATCACCAGGACTAACTTAGGAGAGGGGTACTTACCGGCCAAGGGGCGAGTACGCTACAATAGCGACACCCAACTCGCGGCAGGTCTTCAAAAGCTCAATATCGGGATGCTCGATGTCCAGGGCGAACGGGGAATACTCGATCTGCACGGCAGAGATAGGATGGACTTTATGTGCGCGGCGAAGAGTATCGGAGGAAACCTCGCTGAGACCGAGGTATTTTATCTTGCCCTCTCTGCATTACACACACACACACAAATCCACGTCAGCCAATGATACCCCCCCTCTGACCAACGACGGGAGCAGAGACACACTCACTTCTTCAACTCGGCCATCGCCTCCACCGTCTTCTCAATGGGCGTCTCCAAATCAACCCGATGGCAGTAGTACAGATCGATATTCTCCACACCAAGTCTCTCCAAGCTCTTCGCGCACGCACGCTTCACGTACTCCGGGCTCGAATCGAACATTTTGCCCTCCTGGTCGCCCAGATGCACGCACCCGAACTTCGTCGCTAGGAAGATCTCGCGGCGCTTCCCGGTCCGGGCGAACCATTTGCCGATGAGGTCTTCGTTGTCGAGATACAGGTCGGCGGAGTCCCAGAAGGTCTCGCCGAGGGCCAGGGCGCGGTCCAGGACTTGGAAGCGCTCTTCGTCCGAGGCGGGAGCGCCGTAGAACTGGGAGGGGTTATTAGCGACATCGTCGAATTATTGTTTGCGAAAGATGCGCAGATTTTTTAAAGAGGCGGAATGAATTCTTTCCCCTGATTAGATAGATACTCACAGCGGAGAGGCCCATGAGTCCGAATCCCAAGGCGGGGACTTGAGGTCCGTTCCGGCCAAGCTGGCGGGTGGGGATTTGAGGTGCCATTGTGTAATATTTTTATATTTAACTCAATGGAGATTTCTATCTTTTACGCGCGAAAATAGTTTGAATTGAGAATTTTGATTCTCGGATGTAATATCGATGCTGAATGCTCATATCCTTTCTAAATCCAACGACAGTTCGGGCCCGACTTCATGATGTCATTGATGTCATTGACTATTTATTTCAGGAGCTTTCAGCACGTTTCTTCTTTCAAGACTGATCCACTTTCATCTAGAATATTAACATTCATTGGTCCTTCGTACATCCACTGCTCCATTGGCGTCAGTGGAGCAGGTGCTTTTGGGAATCGCTGATAACGCATCATCTTGGTGGATGCTAGCTTTTCGGATATAACCCGCCAATAGACCTAGAGTACGGCTTAATCGCCGACAGATAGATCCATATATCAAAGCCAAACTTCTTTATTGTATCGGTTTCTCGTGTCCGACATTAAAACCAATAGACACGGCCGATGGCTTTTGAGTTGTCCACGAATCCTCGGGTAGGAGTTAGATGCCCGTAGTCCTCTTGATGTGAAGCGGGTTTATGTTTTTCGCTTATTTTGTTTTTACCCCTTTTCATTTAACCCCGCACTCTTCTAATATAATGTTGAGCTAAATGTGGATCCTGGCTAAGACCGTAAACTGTTAAAAATGCGGTCACCTGACCTGCGGCCGTGACGTTGATTGGGTGCATCCATTTGAGCTAGGGCCATCGAAGAACATAGAAAACTTGACTAAGCGCTTACTAATAGAAAAGGAGATCTTGCGAGCATAACGGGCTAGATTTGCGTTTCTGCGATTGAAATCGACTTTTTTTAATCGACTTTTTTTAAAACTTATTATTATAAACTATTTTCTTTTGAAAAATAACTAACTAAAAAAAAAA